ATATATATATATATATATATATATATATCTCATTGCCATTTCATGAATGTCTTTTGCATTCATAGAAAGTAACCTAAAGTAACAAAGTAAAACAATAATAGGTGGGCAGTATCTATCGATGTGATAGAAGGGAGTAAAAAGAAGGAACATGATTAATAATGCAGAGAAGTTATGTGCTGTCTCCTCCTTCAGAATGATGTTATATAAACAACAGGAGCAGTAATGATAGTCAAAATATAATACTACTTAATATTTATGAATAATTTTGTGTCAGAAGTTCCAAGATAGCTCTTTTATTTTATTTATTTTTAAAAAAATATTTTATTAGTCATTGATGGGCCTTTATTTATTTATATGTGGTGCTGAGAATCGAATCCAGTGCCTCACACATGCTAGGCAAGCGCTCTACCACTGAGGCACAACCCCAGCCCCAAGATAGCTCTTTTAAAAAATGATATTGTTAAGCACTAAAAGAAGCCTCTTGATTTGGAGAGTTCATTTTTAGCTTTGGAAAATGGTCCTGCATTGTTTCATTTCTCTCTTGCATATTTTCTATTCTCTATAGAATAAGGTCCTATAACTCAGGTGTTGAGATATCTGAGTTTATCCTCTACATCTCTTGTCTTACATATTTCCTATATTCTACTTTCTGAAAGAATCCTTCCATATTGTCTTTCTAACCTATTACAGATCTTTAATTTTTTAAAAAAATTATGTTTTTAATGTTCAAGAGTAAAGTGTTTTATGGTAGTGGAGATTGAATTTAGAGGGGTTCTACTACAGAGCTGCATCCCTAGCCCTTTGTAGTTTTTGAGACAGCATCTCACAAATTTGCCCAGGCTGCCTTGGAACTTGGGATCTTCCGTAGCCTCCCTAGTCACTGGGATTACAGGCCTGGACCATCAAACCCAGTAGTTAAAGGTATTATTATTTTTTATTTTTTATCTTTCTAAATAATATCAATTCTTGTTTAATGGACATAATATCTTCTCAAATCTCTATAAAAATATTAACTAGATTTAATGAAAATGTTCTGTTCCCCATGTTTAATCTTTCTTAAAGTGTTCTTATTTTTGTTTAGGTTTCTCTCTCATTCATATTGAAGACATGTTACAAACTAAGCGTAGAAACTTCTGTGCCTTTTGTAGATGATTGGGAATTCCGTATAAAGAGCAAGTTTGCCAATTGCCAGGATGGCTATAGGTTAATCCAATACTAAGTTATGTACTATGCTGTGGAAACTCCATTTTTTTTTTTTAAGACCAATTTCTTTAGAAAAAAGCCACTTTACCTCTTTGCCTAGAACTAAACACCTTATTGCTGAGTGGTCATTCAGCTGAGGGGTATGTATGTGAACAAGTGTGTGCTTTCTGTTCCTTATTTAGACTCTTAGTTATTTCCCTCTATTTTTAGTCCTTTATTTCACTCCTTCTCTCTGCCATTCCTGGAGCCTCTTGTCTATCTCCAGTGACCTAGCACCGCAAGCCTGAGCATTATCATACCATATAAGTTATGGCTCACCTTCCACCTAATTTCCATCTTCCATAGTTTTGTTGAAATATTTCACCCTTTGATGGATTTGCTTGCTCCTCTCGCTATAGGTTTATATATTCTTTTTATTTCTTTGCTGTCATTTAGGTGTAGTCTTGAGAAGGAAAGGAGATAAATACATATATTCAATCTTCTATTTTCAACTAGAATGTCTGCTTAATTCAAAAGTGTTTGTGTGCAAACTTTCCCCTCTAAGTCTGGTTTTGTGAGTAATGTTAATTCTCTGCCTGGTAGACTCAAGAAACAATGCTCTATCTGATTATGGGAGAAAGGTTCAGATAACCTTGGGTGGTTTAAAATTTCTTACTGAGAAATCTGTTCAAGGGGAAAGTACTTAAGATACTGGGTGGGGGTGGGCAGTAGGAGATAACTCTCTTCATGATTTAAGAACCCTAGTTATTTATTTACAACTGTAATAAGAGAAATAGTCAAGTAACTACACAGTTCTACAAAAAAAATTTTTTTTACAAAATGTTAAACAAAAAGTTTAAAGTTAACTTGAAGATTAGTTAAAAATAAAATACAACAAAAAGTTGTTTTCATTCTGCTTCTAAACCACGTTACTGTGCATGTCTGATCCTTTGATTTCCTCCAAGTTTCTATCACCTGAAAGGGACAAAAGCTGTAGCATCAGCCAGGCAAGCCACTCCTTATCCTACTCATTTACAAAGAATGTCCCCTTTGAGCCACTATGATATTGGCTGGTTACTCACACCACAGATAACTCAGGATTGGCTAGGACTGCAATTAAAATACTGTTTGCCTATAAGAGTTGATAAGCCACAATATAAATGTACACAAGCTCCTGTTCTTGGGCTATATCATAAAGCATTTGCTCTCTTATTTCCTCCTACACAATTTCATGCAAGATCTAGAAAGGACACACTGCCTCTGGTCAGAAGAAAAGATTGTTAAAGAAGAAAAAGCCTCAGATGGGTCTTCTGAGTTCTAAGAACTCCAAAATCAACCAAGCCCACGTTCTTCTTCTGGGACTTGATTCAGCAGGGAAGTCTACTCTCCTTTACAAACTAAAGCTTGCTGAGGATATTACAACCATGCCAACAATAGGTTTCAATGTGGAGATGATCGAATTGGAAAGCAGCCTTTTGCTCACAGTCTGGGATGTTGGAGGACAGGAAAAAATGAGAACTGTTTGGAGCTATTATTGTGAGAATGCTGATGGGCTGGTGTATGTTGTGGACAGTACAGATCAACAGCGACTGGAAGTCTCACGGAAAGAGTTTGAGCACATTTTGAAGAATGAACATATTAAAAATGTGCCTGTTGTCCTATTAGCCAACAAACAAGATGTGCCTGGAGCTCTGACTGCGGAGGACATTACCAGAATATTCAAAGTGAAGAAGCTCTGCAGTGACCGGAACTGGTATGTGCAACCCTGCTGTGCCCTCACAGGCGATGGGCTGATAGAAGGATTCAGGAAATTAACTGGATTCGTGAAAAGTCACATAAAATCAAGAGGAGACACTTTAGCATTCTTCAAGCAAAAATGAGACAGTGGAAAGATTGAAGCCTCAAAAAAGATAAAGTTGAAACGGTAATTTTTTTTCCATCTTAATTGAGAAAAGCAAGTGACTTAAGTTGGCAAATGTTTCCTGAGTTTTTTTTTCACATAAATTTAGTTAAACAAGTCTAGAAAATAGTTATTTTTAGCCAGAAACTAGGAAACTGTATGGTAATGATCAAAATGAAGAATTTGTATTTTGCAAAATTTTAACATGATTCAGAATAGTCATGCTTGGAATGGGATAAATTATGACTTTATTAATTTTATATGACTTCTAGAACAAAGTTTAAATAACTTGACTGCTAATCAAGTCTGTTTTTTTCAGGCATTGACTTTCTACCCTGCAATAGCTGAGTGGTATGAAAAATGAACTTTATATTACGGAGAGGAAAAAATTGGAAGCTAATATTTTGTATATCCTATTCCCTAAATAAAGCTCCTTTTCTGGATTCTTGCCAGATTTTTGAAACTCATTGCTGGGAACTTCCTCAAGTGTCTTAAACAATGAACCTCAGGCTAATTGCCTAGAGGCTATGTTCTTTAGGGAACAGAAGTGTGCAACCAAAAGTTCTGGGCATTATGGTAGTACTGTAGAATTTAGGACAAGTTCTGTGTTTAGGGCTAAGCTCTAGGCTGCAGCCTTAAGATCTGCTTCAGAGGAATTCAGGATTACCTAGCAACACATGTACAGCCTATTGTGCTGATAAACTGAAGCAAATCTCTGTTCTCAGGGACCTTCGCATGGGGAAGCAACATAAAGCTAGTAGTTAGAATACAGAAGTTAAATTCTGTGTTGTTATTGTAAGAAATGTTGTCTAAGATGTTGTCTAAGAAGTCGCTAACTTCCAGAAGGGTGCAGGTTAGTGACTGGAAGTTTCCATCACTAGGATACTCTCAGAAATACTGTGACAAGGAAAGGGGAGGCAAAACCAAAGATTGAATTGGAATTTCTGTGCCAGGCTCAGAACTCCTAGGGGAGCCCTGGTCCTAACAAACTCTCCTCCTACCCTACCTCAATAAGTCTCATTTGGGCTGGAAGCAGGCCTCCAGCTTTCACAGCAGCTTCTTGGACTCCAAATTCCAAGATCATAGAGGAAAATAAAGGTATGGTAAGTCAAGGGTGTTACACCTTATATTTTGTGTGTGTGTTAGTGTTTTTCTCTTTTCCTCTTCATTATGACTTAATTCTTGGCATACTTCCTTCCATGCCACATGGTATAGTTTAAATAATACAGAAGATAAGCCCTTTGTTACTGTTGATTGAATACATGGGTGTGCTAGGCAATAGGCTAAGTGCTTTCATACATCTTCTCATTTAATGTTCATAACTGCCCTGAAAATAAAATGGCATTATTATCCCAATTTTAACAAGTGAGGATTGAGACTAAATAAAGTTAAAATATAAAAACCACACCAAAAAAACTTTGTATTTTAACTGAGGAATTGCAGAACCAAGATTCAAATTTAGGTGCCTGTGACTCTAAGGCCTGTGTCATTGTTAATGCCAAAATATTGTTTTACAGATAAGGTATGATCTCTGTTTTCAATGAGCTTCTAATCCCCAAGAATAAACCCAGGACTGCTTAGCTGCAGAGCACTTCTAGCATATAAGAGTTCCTGATTTAATCCCTGGCAATGGGGGGTGGGGAGGATGCCAGGCCAATATATATATTTCTTTTCTTTTATTTATTTTTTTTAAAGAGAGAGAGAGAGAGAGAGAGAGAGAGAGAGAGAGAGAATTAATATTTATTTTTTAGTTCTCGGCAGACACAACATCTTTGTTTGTATGTGGTGCTGAGGATCGAACCCGGGCTGCACGCATGCCAGGCGAGCGCGCTACCGCTTGAGCCACATCTCCAGCCCTATATATTTCTTTTATAATAAGAATGTTTTTAGAATACATTGTGATAACAGAGATGTAAGAAAGATGCTGAAAGATTGTTGCCAAAAGATTTTCTAATTTCAGGAAGATCTCAGGAGGGTGGCAATGTTAAACATTAATAATAGGATTTTCCCTGAGTTTCCTCAAATGGTTAAAACTTCAAATATACATCTCCCTTTACAATTTCCTTCAGTGTTTTTTTTTTTAAATTGAATCATTCTAGTAATCTAAACATTAGAAGCCACTAATTTACTTCTATAGAAAATATTTGAATAGAAAATGTTTCCTGGTAGCTGGGTATAGTGGCATACACTTGTAATACCAGAGTTGGGAGGTTGAGACAGGAGGATTTCAAATCTGAGACCTTGTTTCAAAAAAAAAGACTTTGGTGTAGCTCAGTGGTAAAACACCCCTGGGTTTAATCCCCAGTACTACAAAAATAAAAAAAATAAATTAAGTCTCTGGGTATTCTAGTATTTTGGTCATTTGAATTAAGCCAAGCCCTTTGTGACCCAGTCATCATGTAAAATTCAAAGAAAACAGTCTGAAAAAATATTAGAAGTCTCTGGTGTGTGTTGTGTGTGATGGGCAGATAAAATATTTTTTTTCTTTTGAATTCAGGGGTGCACTAACCACTGAGCAACATCCCTAGTGATTTCAGGAATATTAATATTTTAGAGACAGGATCTCACTAAGTTGCTGAGGCTGGCTTTGAACTTGTGATCTTCAGCCTCAGCCTCCAAAACTGCTGGGATTACAGGCTTGCACCACAGGCCTGTTTTTTTTTTTTTTTTTCCTTTTTCTTTTTTGACTTGGAATTGAACAGTTTGTAGGGGCTCTACCACTGAGTTACAGCCCCAGACATTTTTGTTTTGAGGAATCTCGCTGAATAGCCCACGATGGCTTTGAATTTGTCATTCTACTGCCTTAGCCTCCTGGATCACTGGGCTTATAGCAATGTGCCAGTGTACCTGGCTGATATAGAATTAAAGTAGAGGAAATTTTATAAAGTTTTTCCTATCATTTCAAAATCTCTCCCAATATAGCAGCCATTCCTCAAAATCTCTGGCAATACTCTCCCAGAAACTTGTATGCTGTTTTACTTTTTCCCTGGGATCTATGTTTTTTCCATGAGTAGCTTTCTTTCTTTTTTGATGTTAATTCCATCATTCTTTTATTTCTTTGACATTTCCCTCCTGTTCTCCCTAGCATGTTCCCTCTGTCCTTTAACACACATGGATGTATGGGTAAACACAAACATACACACATATACCTGTAAACCCTTAACCCAGATGTACAAATAGTGCTGATAGGGGACAGACAGATATGAGTGGTGGGAACATGAGGTTAAGGGAATATTTCTATAAAATGGGTCCACTGTGCTGACCCCCATGTGCTTTCTTTTCCAAGAAGCAATCTACCTGCAGCTCTGCCTAGTTTAAGTCAACAGGATATGTCACATTCCTCAGCAAACTACCTGTTATCTGCAGAATGCAGGCTGAAATAATGTTGATAAGAACACAAGTTACCCTTAAGGGGGGGGGGAAATTTTGTGATCCTTACATGGAAAAGATCCCAGAATTTGGGAAGATAAAGATAATTCCCTTTTACCATAAAATCTGTAAGAACAGATTCCAGTTAGAACCAGCATGGGCCAAAGGGACCTAGAGTTGTCAAGGCAGTGGGGTCTTAAAAATCTGATGTCATCCTGCTATCAGTCAAAAATCAAGAGGTAGAACCTGAACAGGACTCTCAGGAAACTTCGCTGGGATCCCTAATAAAACTGGAGTGAAGGAGAGTCATGTTATCCCTCTCTTCTCTGAGAGAAACCCCTCTATCCCTTGAGGTGCTCCCCTATCCCTTTTCCCATCCCTTCTAATAAACTTATTGCCTGTTACTCTGAAATCTTTCTGACTTGATCACAAAAATCTGGGTTTAAAGGTGGGGGGGTATCTTAGTGCCATCTCAGTTACCAAAATGGCCCCAGCCCTGTAACAGTGACTGAAACTGAGGGAAGATAATAAGACAAGCAAGATAGTAGGAAAATATTCCTTAGCAGATGGGAAGAAAGAAGCTGTGAATATTTATACTTTGATATTTGTTGTTATCATATATTTTATTTTATCATATTTTATTGTGGTGCTGGAGATTGAACCAAGATTCTCACACATGTTCAACAAGTTCTCTACCACTGAGCTAGATCCTGAACCATTTATTTTGCTTTATTTTTGTACATTCTTTCCAAGCATTTTATCAGCATATTTTTTTTAATTTTTATTTTTTTAAGAGAGAGAGAGATTTTAATATTTATTTATTTATTTATTTTAGTTTTCAGTGGACACAACATCTTTTTGTTTTATTTTAAAACAAATTTTGCATATATTTGAGGTTTACAATGAGATGTTATGGAATACATATAGATAATAAAAAGGCTACTATAGCATAGCAAATTATCATTTCACATAGTTAATCTTTCTGTGGGAAAAGTATCTAAAAATCTACTTATTTAATAAAAATCCCAAATTCCTTACAATTTTATCTTGTTCCCAATCTGTAACATAGCAAAACTTTTATCAAAGTAGCATACCACGGTGGATCTGATAGCAACCAAAATTACACCACTTCAGAAATGTTTCTTGGTTAAAGATTTAAAGAGTAAATCTCGAAATTTTGATTTAAAGCTAAGTGTCAGATATTATTTTTTTTAATATTTATTTTTTAGTTGTAATTGAACACAATACCTTTTATTTATTTATGTTTATGTGGTGCTGAGGTTTGAACCCAGAGCCTCCTATGTGTGAGGCAAGCGCTATACTGCTGAGCCACAAACCCAGCCCAGTGTCAGATATTATGAAAGGTAAATATTAGCTAAATATTTCTATCTGATTTTCTAAATATTCTATGTGAAAAAATTCCTACAGGACATAAGAATAAAGAATGATGAATAAATAAAACAGCAGCAGTGACTGACATATATTAAAATTAATTTGCCCATTTTAAAAGCTCATCATCACTGTGTTCTGATGATGTACAAAGTGAGTTTCATCAAGCCAAAGAGGCTGGTAATTTTAGATGAAGTGACTATGGTGCTAGTTTCCCATAAGTGACCCTCAGTCTCAGAGGCTTACTGATCACTGCAGTATACTGGGTATGTGGGAAAACAACCTAAGAAACAGATACCCCTGAGTTCTGTTCTGCAGACCTCTAAGTTGGCAAGTTCTTGTTCACAAGAGCTCTCTCTTCAAAGAGAAGCAAAGTGTTTGAGAGACAGACAGGATTAGGGATGTGGCTCAAGCTGTAACGCGCTTGCCTGGCATGCACAGGCGCTGGGTTCCATCATCAGCACCACATAAAAATAAAATAAAGATGTTGTGTCCACTGAAAACTAAAAAATAAATATTAAAAACTTATCTCTCTCTCTCTAAAAAAAAAAAAGAGAGATAGACAAATTTCTTTCGGGCAGTGCTAATGAGTATTTTAACATAACAGAAGCTAATGTCATAGGAATTCCATTTCCAGTCCATCATATTTTTACCATAGTGTTCACTATTAGAAACTAAGTTACTTCAAGCATAA